CAGAAGTGTAACATCTAAGTAAGTCCTTCGATTTGGTGATGCAACTGAAAGTGTGGCTAAGAAATGAAGGAACATTCCAGTTGTTTCCTAATCAGACAATTACAGATGTTTCCTAACCAGACACAAGGGTTGAAACTCCACAGCAACTCCAGAGAAGTCTTGGAAGCAGACATACTAGCTCCTACTAGGTCATTTCTCCCAAGGCAAAGGGGCCTCTGCTGCCTGGGCAGTGACTTACAGTTGAGTTCTTAGTCCAGAGGGAAGCTGTGTGGGGTATATGCGCTTGAGAGGAATTGGGGGCATTCAGTTCCCTGACAGCTTCCCCAGGCTCAGGAAGGAGCTCTTTGTGGTAGTTGTCAACTAGAAAGAGCATAAACCTATGAACTGGCCATGTGGAGGAGGCGCTGAGAGCACAGCAGCCTGTGCATTCTCAGGATGCTCTCAAACAATTTCTGACTGAACTCAAATACTTATGCTGGCGATAAAAACACTCTCTTCCCATGAGAAAAAAACCCTCTTTTAAAGCCTTTGAATTGCCTCCAAAGACACTGAACTGGCCGTCTGTTCCCATCTGACCAAGCTGCTAGTTGAGCTGTGACTCCCTAGAAGGTCTGTGAGGATGAAATGTTCAGTGCACATTTAAGCAGCTGTTCTTCTCTCTCTGCTGAGCTCTTAAAAGCATTCATGCGTGGAGGGAAGAAGCAAGCAGATTGTAGTCTTTCTGGTCATTTCAGTTTTCTCTGGGTTGATGCCTGCTTCCTTACAATCTCATTGTAACCATTAGGCAATAGCCACACTGGCCCTTGGCACAGTGTGAAGCAGTCTATGCTATTATTCCTGTGCATGCTACATCATGACGCTGGGACACAAGGGAAGAGACTTGGTTTAGCAGACTGAGATGGCACGGTTTGGCAGTGTTTTCTGTACACGCATGAAGACCTGAGTGAGTGCAATCCCCAGAACCCACATGAAAAGCTAGATGTGGTACTAGTGCAGCTTGTTATCCCAGTTCCGGGGAGGCAGAGACAGGCAGATAGATCCCTGCAACTCACTGGCTGGTCAGCCGAGCCTCCTAGGTGAGCTCCAGGCCAGAGAGTGTCTGTCTCAAAAAATGGTGGACAGAACTTGAGGAACAAACCTGAGGTTGGTCTCTGACCTCCACACACTGGGATATGCACATATGTACACACATGTATCCACACACATCTATACACACAGGCACACATAAATATCATCTATACGCACATGCCCACACAGACATCTATATACACCATGCACACATCTATATATTCATGCATATGCTTAAATCCATACACACTTGTATATACATACATTTATATACACATGCCCACACAGACATCTATACACATGCACACATTTATATATTATGCATATGCTTGCATCCATACACACTTGTATACACATACATTTATATACACACACACATACATCTATACATACACGCACACACTTGCATCCATACACACTTGCATGCACATACATTTCTATACACATGCACACACCTGCATCCATACACACATGCATATGCATGCACACAAATGTATCAATACATACATGCACAGATACAAACAATCCAGAGGCACAACTGGGAAGAAAAAGGTGTAATGCTGCCAGGAAAACTGTTGAACCAGGGAAGCCCTACTCAATGGAGACACAGCAGCTTTGCATGGAAAAGGAGTGCAAGGCCTTGGCATACAGCACAGAAGCCATACTGTTGGGAACTGCATTTAAATGGCTCTAATTCCTCAGATTCAGGGATAACATCCCCTCTGCTCACATGTTTGGAATGCATGGGTTCCCAACATGTCAAGTGTTTGCAGATGTGCTGGAATCAACCATCATTTAAGAAACCTGCCATCTTGCAGAATGACGCTCCTGTGTGTCATAGAGCGTTCAATTGAAAAGAAGAGAAAGAGACTTGATGCCGTTTCTTTGCTCTGTCATCCTCCCACCTGTATGCTGGGTATTTCAAACTGGCAAATGAAGAAGGAAATCATGAAGCGTGTTATTAAAGCCAGCTCACCACCAAGTGACACAAACGGGAAGGAGCTGGAGTGCCTCAAAACTGACAGCTTCGTTTTCAGTAGGGCAACTACATTTAATCAATATTTGTTTGCTTTTTTTTTTTTGAAAGGTGAAGGAACTATTCTAGGGGCTGATTTTATCATTTGTGTGTTAAGAAAGCACACAAAAGCAGTGTGCTGGTTCTAACCACAGGCCCAGAGGCAGAAAGATCTGAATCATGAATCATTACGAATTAAAACCTTGGGCAAATCACCAACATCTAAACCGCAGCTTCTTCCACCATAAAACGGTGACAAAAACCATCCCTGGTGGCTCAATGGTTAAGAGCACATGTTGCTCTTACAGAGAACCAAAGTTTAGTTTCCCACATTCAAGTCAGGTGGCTCAAAAATCCATGGAGATACATCACCTCTGAACTCTCAGGCACCTGCACACTCACATACACAAGACAGTCAGACAGATAGACACATACCTACACACAATTAAAAACCTTAACAACAACAACGCAACTGTCTCGGGATTATAGAGTAGACCACACCCACGAAACATGGCCCATGATGCACTGTGAGAGCTTTGGTGTTTTGTTTCCCCTCCTTTGGTGTGGGGAAGGAACAGCAGCAACACCACAGCCCCACACTCTAATCCTAACGAAACCAAACAGGCAAACGAAGAGACAGACATAGGGGGAGGTCGCAAAATTCTTGACTAGAGTGGTAAAAAGGCACCTGTTACCTATGTCCGAGACATTTACTGTGACCCCTGGGACAGGCACCTCCACAGGGAAAGGGTAGATGATGAGACGGCCATTGCTGACTCTGCCAGAGAAAACAGCCTGATACTTTGACAAACCATGTGTCTTTCAATTTTTATATGTTTATAATGCATTCAGTGTAACACAAATTTATTTGTTTACTTGGTGATAGGCCATCTTGGTTAGGGCAGACAGAGCGAGTGCCTGTGTTGAACTCAGCCCAAGGACTATCCTAGCGATTATCTCTGGATCAGAGACAGAATTTTTAATAATAGTAATAATAACAATAACAATAACCCAACGACATCTAAAATGCTACTTTAAACTGTGCTGGCTTGGGGTTAGGGAGATGGCTCCATCAGTAAGATGCTTGCTGCATTTGCACGAGTGTTGTGGGATATTTGTACACTGTGTGAAGATGTATTTGCTGTGATTGGTGTAATAAAAAGCTGAATGGCCGATAGATAGGTTGGAGGTATAGGTGACACTTCCAGGCAGGGAGAGAACTCTGGGAAGAAGAAAGGCGGCGTCACCAGCCAGACGCGGAGAAAAAGCAGAAAAGGAAACAAGATGGAAGAGAGGTAATGCCCCGTGGCAGAATGGAGATTAATATAAATGGGTCAGTTTAAGTTATAAGAGCTAGTTGAGAGAAGCCTAAGGTAAAGGCCAAACGTCCATAATTAATAAGTTTCAGAGTCGTTATTAGTGAGCTGGCGGCCCATGAAAAGACTTGCTACACATGAGGATCGAAGTTCAACTGTCTGTCAGCAGTCATGTGACAGGCTAGGCACATGAGCAGATGCCTGTAGTCCCAGCTCTGCGGAGGCAGAAAGAGGTGGATCCCTGGGCCCAGGCGGGCAGTCTATCTCAATCAGAGAGCGCCAGGCTCACTGAGAGACTTTGCCTTAAAAACAAGGTAGAAGCACTAGAGAAAGATGTCTAAGGTTGACCTCTGGACTCCATTCCTTACACCTCACACACAGATGCACATACACATGCATGTAACGCACACGCATGCACACAAACTGTGCTTGAATGCTGGTGGTAAGTCTAGGATGGGTCTACAGTAAGAACAGGATTGTACACCAACTGCTCACTAATGGACTGGACTGGTTATTAGCTGAGCATCCTGAGCTGAGCCTCAAGCTTTCTTAGTATCTTGACTGGTATGAGCCTCCCTCCCCCATCTTCCCAACTTGATTTCTCCATGGTCTATGACTCAAGTATGTGATGCCACCAGCAATAGGAGCTTGCCGTGGAGAGAAGAGCCAAGAGTAATAGCCTGCAACGTTGGTTATGGGCTTCTGGGACCTCACTGAGCAGCAACTCTGCCAGAGCTGCCCCGTTCCCAGCACTGGGCTTTGTATTTTCTATCCTGTGCTGTCTAGTTAGGGCACTGCTGCCTGTGATAGGGGAACTTGGCTAAACTTTTAATATATTTATACATTTCTATTTCAGGAAGCTTCTACAATAATAGGTTTTCATGACTTTTTCAGAAGGTCTTTGGTGTTAGTTACCCCTTCCTTTATTGCCTCCCCCACCCTGACCTCCTATCCCCACCCCACTTAACCCTTCCTGTTCATTTATAAATGGGGAAATTCTATATATTGTGGTCTCCCTCACCTCACTTGAAAGCCCCTCTCCAAGTTCACTCACTGACTTCCTGACCTCTGCGGGTATTCCAGGTGAAACACACATATCTAGAGGGCCAAAGCTGGCATTACACCTGGGAGAAGAGAGCCCGGAGAGGGAAAGAAATCAACTGTACCTGGAGCTTGAACCCTGTGAATTACAATAACATCCTTCTGGGAAAGCTATGCCCTCTGTAGCCCCCTAGACACTAGAAAAGAAGGGAGAAACTAAGGCTAAAGTTGACAGAAGAAACTAAACAAGAAAAATGAGAGCAGAAATAAACCAAATAGAGAACGTGAGTAATAGAAAAAATATTCATCAAGAAGAACAAAGGTGATACAGAGCTATGGCAATCAAAACCACATGGCTGTGGCAGGAGAGCGAGCAGGTATGCAGCGCCACGGAAGGAATCAGTGGATCAAGAAATAAACCACACAGATATGGTCTACTGATGTTTCGTGCTGGCGCCAAGAACACAGTGTGGAGAGGATGTGCAGAGAGGACAGCCACAGCAGGAGAATGTAATCGATCCCTTGTCTCGTGACACAGAAAAGGGAAATCAAAATGGACATTAGACACAAACTGTTGGATTAGAACACAATCCAGGGAAACATGTGAGAAACCACTGGGGGTGCACTTCAGCCCCGGAGAGCAGATGTGGGGGTGCACTGCAGTCCAGGAGAGCAGATGTGGGGTACACTGCAGTCCCTGAGAGCAGATATGGGGTACACTGCAGTCCCGGAGAGCAGATGTGGGGTGCACTGCAGTCCCGGAGAGCAGATGTGGGGTACACTGCAGTCCCGGAGAGCAGATGTGGGGTACACTGCAGTCCCTGAGAGCAGGTGTGGGGTGCACTGCAGTCCCTGAGAGCAGGTGTGGGGTGCACTGCAGTCCCTGAGAGCAGGTGTGGGGTGCACTGCAGTCCCTGAGAGCAGATGTGGGGTGCACTGCAGTCCAGGAGAGCAGATGTGGAGTACACTGCAGTCCCAGAGAGCAGATGTGGGGTGCACTGCAGTCCCAGAGAGCAGATGTGGGGTACACTGCAGTCCCGGAGAGCAGATGTGGGGTACACTGCAGTCCCTGAGAGCAGGTGTGGGGTGCACTGCAGTCCCTGAGAGCAGATGTGGGGTGCACTGCAGTCCCTGAGAGCAGGTGTGGGGTGCACTGCAGTCCAGGAGAGCAGGTGTGGGGTACACTGCAGTCCAGAAGAGCAGGTGTGGGGTGCACTGCAGTCCCGGAGAGTAGATATGGGGGTGCACTGCAGTCCTGGAGAGCAGATGTGGGGTGCACTGCAGTCCTGGAGAGCAGATGTGGGGTGCACTGCAGTCCAGGAGAGCAGGTGTGGAGTACACTGCAGTCCTGGAGAGCAGATGTGGGGTGCACTGCAGTCCTGGAGAGCAGATGTGGGGTGCACTGCAGTCCCGGAGAGCTGATGTGGGGTGCACTGCAGTCCCGGAGAGCAGATGTGGGGTACACTGCAGTCCAGGAGAGCAGGTGTGGGGTGCACTGCAGTCCAGGAGAGCAGGTGTGGAGTACACTGCACTCCTGGAGAGCAGATGTGGGGTGCACTGCAGTCCTGGAGAGCAGATGTGGAGTGCACTGCAGTCCCGGAGAGCTGATGTGGGGTGCACTGCAGTCCCGGAGAGCAGATGTGGGGTGCACTGCAGTCCCGGAGAGCAGATGTGGGATGCACTGCAGTCCTGGAGAGCAGATGTGGGATGCACTGCAGTCCTGGAGAGCAGATGTGGGGTGCACTGCAGTCCCGGAGAGCAGATGTGGGGTGCACTGCAGTCCCTGAGAGCAGGTGTGGGGTGCACTGCAGTCCCTGAGAGCAGGTGTGGGGTGCGCTGCAGTCCCAAAGAGCAGGTATTTGAGAACCACAACTGTGATAGAGGAGGGGCCGATGATGAACAGAGGAAAAGGTGACAAACACAGGAAGAGACATCACTTATGTGTTTGTTGGGCCAGACTCCAAAATACACAAGACGGTCCAACAGGTCAAAAGTAAAACACAGAAACTAAAGCAAAAGCAAATCTACACACAAAACAAAAGCAAAAGAAACCCCTAATTTATAAAGGGGCAAAGGACCCACATAGGCCTTTCTCTGAAGGACAGTAAAGTAGTCACAAGGACAGACAGGGAAATGCAAATTAACAAAACGAGCTGTTGGTGAGGTGTGCACTGTAAGGAACGCCTAACATTTGCAAATCTGTTACATCAATGCTGCAGATGTAGTCCAGTCCACTGTGTGGAATACCATGACACAGCAAACCAAAACAGAACTCCTATATGCAGCCACGCCTCAACCGAGGACACACCCAACAGAACACGTGGACTTGTCATAGAGTGGCATGACAGTGTTTAGTGCCGTGGCACTTACACGGCACAAACTCAAGTAGCCTGTGCCTATCCCTGAAAGAGTGGGTAACGAAAATGTGGTGCCGGTTTGTGCAATAGGAGGAATGATAGCAATAGATAATGAACAGGTAGGCAGATCACACATGATAGATCCAGATAATATAGATCTGTGGTTCTCAACCTGTGGGTCATGACCCTTTGGGTTTAATGACACTCTCATGGGGGCTACCTGAGATCATCAGAAAACACGGATATTTACATCATGATTCATAACAGTAGCAAAATTACAGTTATGAAGTAGCAATGAAAATAATTTTATGGTTGGGGGTCACTATCACATGAGGAACTATATTAAAGGGTTGTAGCATTAGGAAGGTTGAGAAGCACTGAGATATATTAGATAGATAGATAGATAGATAGATAGATAGATAGATAGATAGAGCTAGATAGATAGAGATCGATAGTAGACATACGGTAGGTAGATGAATAACAAATGATATCAGACAGATGATAGGTAAATAATGGCAGATGATAGGCTGATGGGAAGTATATTGATAAATAGATACAGAGCTATGACAGATATGCAGACAGATGGAAAGATAGAGATGATGGATATGATGACACAACAGATGATTAATAAGTAGACATATGGCTGATATGCATAGATGATAACTAGGTAGGTGATAGATAACGGAATACTGAACAATTAAAGGGACATTCTGTCACTGATACACTGTGAATGAACCTGGAGAACTCAGAGTTAACTGAAATTAGCCAGACAGGGAAAGACAACTCCACCCATCTTGCTTAGATATGGCTTCTTCTGTTTGTTTGGTTTTGGTTTTGGTTGTTTTGGGTTTGTTTTTGTTTTTGTTTTCAGACAGAATTTCTCTGCATAGCCCTGGTTGTCCTGGTACTCACTGTAGACCAGGCTGGCCTCAAACTCACAGAGATCTGCCTGCCTCTGCCTCCCGAGTGCTGGATTACAGGTGTGTGTCACCACTAGAACTTAACAAGTCAAGTTCGTTAACGCTGGGGATAGGAAGCTGTTGTTGGGCTAGGAGGTGGGGAAGGGGACACGCCATCCAAGGACATGATGGCTGTTGTGCAGGATGCTAGTGTCCGGATGGTGACGCCCCAAGACTATTGCACACTACCATTGTTCCATTGCATGATCTAATGTACTATTGTTCACTACATTTGAAGTGTGCTGAGTGTTAAAACAAACCCCATGACTGTGTGCAGAGACAGACATATTAATTAACTCATTAAACCGTTTATGCATGTATCAAAATATGTTCTGTACCTTAAATTTAAATGCCTTTTGTCACGTGTATCTAGCAAAGCCACTAGTTCTTATCCCCACAGAATATCATTATCCACTATTGTGCCACATGACCAAGAATTCCATGCTGATGGTAAAAGTAAGTACACAGTGTCGCTATGATTCTGACCCATCTCAGAATGGGAACCTAACACGTGTAACTGGCGGCCTCAGGAACAGGGAAAGAGCTAGGAAGGCTCGTTTACCTGCCGAGCAGGGCTTCGCTGGGATGCGCATGGGCACTGCCTGCTAGTAAAAGGCCCTCCAGAGACCCGGGTGCAAGAAGTCCCAGAGAAGATGCCTTTCCTACTTGAACTTGAGGAGACCAAGATAGATTGAGATAGACTGCCCCGCGCTCCTCCCAAGACAGACTCTGTGGTGCCGGAGATGCGCTGCAAGCAGCCTCGGCCAAGCTGAAGGCAGCATACAGCACTCGGGCCAGCGTTCTGAGCGCTATAGCCCACCCGGAGCAGTCGGCTTGAGATGCACGGAATGATCTGCCCCGGCGAGCTGCAAACCAAATCTGTACTTAGACATGTTCCTGTAACAACAGGCCTAGCCGGTGAGGAAGAGACAGGAAGATGAGCATGGCGAGAACCCGTAGAAGCATGGTCGCAGGGCGCTCACACGGAAGGGTTTAACTAGGGAACTGTTACCGAGAGGGACAGGCCTTGGTGACCGACTGGAAACACATGGGAAAAGGCCATGGCATCGCTAGATTTCTGACCTCATGAAGGTTCTGACAACTAGAGGTTTGGGAAGTCTTCTGACCGGCAGGAAGAGCTAAGCCACTGAGTAGCCTGCGTTCTCCTACAGTAATGTTTGGAGGACCTGCGCCTTGGATTTGAAAGTCATCCCTCTGTAGACCACAATCAGTTAAGTATGATATGGTGACGCTTATATATCCAGATTCATTGCTGTTCTAGTCCCCAAACAGAGAGTTGATGTCCTAGATGCCCATCAGCTGACAAGTGAGCAAAGAGATTGTGGTAATACACACTGTGCAGTTTTATTGAGACAAAAAAACAAATGAAACAATAACAACAAACCCAAGAAATTCTGAAATTCACAGGACAATGGTGACTTTGTAAATTACTGTAGTAAGTAACCCAGACTCTGAAAGACGAAAGTCACATGTTCTTTCTCAATACGCAGATCCTAGCTTTAAAAGTGTGTGTGTGCACATGTGTGTTCATATGTGTGTTCACATGTGTATGTGCGTGTGTGTAAAGTCATGTAGCCAGAAATGGAGAAGAGAGGTGCTGAGGATGGGAACTAATCATAAAAGTGGGAAAGAAATGGCTGGGGTGGGAGGGAGGGAGAAGACTATGTGAGAGGCATGCACAAGAGGGATTATCAGACAGATCATTCTTGAAATGGTGGTGAAAACTTATTACTTTGCATACTAATTACAATTAAAACAAAGAAAAAATGAAATATCCTGTTGCAAATAAGCGAATGCTGGGCCATGTCAAATCTGTCCCGACAGAGGCCTGCACCGCAGCCATAAGGTGCTGCTGGATGAACATATACCTGCTCAATCAGTAATGTAACTAAAGCCACTTCCTAAAACCCTAAACCCCTGCCACACAGACTCATGAATATTGTTTAAAGAGGCAGCCCGAAGCAGATGGTTGAGTGCCATGATGCCCGGATTCCGTGATGGAGCAGCCGGGACGACAGGGGTCAGCCTCAGGTAGAGGATTAGACAGAAGGCCACGGCAGAATCATCTCTGCTACGCTGTGCTCTCATAGTATTATGTCTTATATTTGTCTCCTAAACTTTTAAATTATAAAAACAGTAAGATCAGAGGAAAGCTGGCAGTGCCAGGGGAACTGCCCCGTAGTTTCCTGTAGCTGCGTGCAAACACGCAGTTATTCTAAAGTCATTACAATCTGACCCTTCTCATTTGTGTCCCCATGGCTCTTCTCTCTCTGCCCAATGGTCCTCACAGCTCTCAGTGTGAGTGGCCACATGAACGGACGCATCTAGCTAATCTGACTCAGCCGAGTTCCTGGCAATGGCAATTTGATTTATTGCCAATAAGACTCTAGCTTCCTAGATTTTGGATTATTTTTATGGGTTGACCTTCCAGAAATGGACTTTTACGGATCCTAGGGACACCGTATTGTGGTGCTAGTGGAGTGGAAGGGCTTCGTTCACACTAAGTTGCCATCCTGAGCCACTCCTCCAGCCCACACGATTGGCTCTTCCCACTGCCCTTGCCTCTCCCCGGTGAACAGTTGTGGACGCCACTGTTCACCTCTTCAGCACCGACTTAGAAGATGAAAGAGCATGTTTAATTTTTACTAGACTAAATCTTTGGAAGCTCAGACATGTCCTCTGGCAGGTCTGACTGTGTATGTAGTTGTGTAAAAACCACTATTCACATCCGTAAAAGCAGCAATGCACATGCATTCCTGTTCACAACCCCAACCTGAAAAAATACTGGATTCGAAGCTCACCTTTGTAGTTTTTGTGGTTTATTTTTTTATTTCTTTGAATGTATCCATTTGACTTTCCATGAATACTTGGGACATGCCAGCCTGATAATGGACACCAGGAAACCCAGACAGACAGACAGGTAAACGAGGTGTCTGTTAGCAGCATGACAACATGGGGGATGGGTGAAAATACTGCTGCTATGTTGGGGACACAAGTCTGTGTTAGAGGGATTGCCGAGAATATGTAAAGATCAGATATCCAGAGTTATCCTCAGCTATACAGTGACTAGCCTGGGTTATAGGAGATTCTGTCTGGAAGAATGAAAGGGGGAGGGGGAGGAAGGGAGGAAGGGAGGGAGAGAAAGAGGGAGAAAAGGAAAGAGAAACAGAGAAAAAGAAAAGAGGATTTTTACACAGAAGGAAAGTTCCTGTTTTTGCAGAATCCAATGATACTCCCTAAGTCACCTGTGCTAATGTAACAACACTGCTCACTGTCATGGTAACCTGAATGCTCTCAGTAGGCCTGCCGACTTCGTTGGTAGGCTGGCCAGGGCTGGCTCAGCTGAGATGTCCACAATGGCCGGGTTCCTCTCTCCAAGAGGCTTTGTATTTCAAAGTGGCTGGCTAAACTATCTTTCGCATGGGGCGAGCAGAGTTTGAAAAGGCAAGTCCTCCAGAGTAAGCATGTGTCCAGCTTCCACTTGGACGGTGCATGCTTGGGTCCTAGAGGCCAAGCAAGTCACGTGGCCAATCTCAGGTCTGTAGCTGAAGACGGTTGAAAGGTCCACACAGGGACCTTTAGGAGCTGTTGGAGAAA